AGGAGGTTAAGAAGTGTGCGAAAAAGGTGCCTTGTTGAAATTGGTTTAATTTTGCAGGATGATTTTCATGCACTATGATGATCATGTATCCATCTGTTTCATCTAAGGGGTTATGGACATCTAAGGCCTATCACGAGACTGAGTAGTGCTCAAGATTTGATGAGCTGCCAGCGGGGTTTCTTTGTGCCTGCAACTGGAAATGGTTGCCATGCACATGGGTACTTGTCAGGTATGCAAGCTAGAGCATGGCCTGATTTTTGCGCCGAACGGTGAGAACACCGTGTCTGTATCAGTTTGGGGAGCTTTATCAATTTCAATCTTACATGTCTCAGGCGAACTGTGTGATTGCACGCGCGCCCCAGAAAGACTGCAAAATGGTTGACTTCAAGTATGGCTACGCGCAGCTAGCAGCCTTATACCGTACTGCCACATACCCATATGAATTGCCCATGCCAGGATGCCGCGTCTGGAAGGATGGCAGATTCGTGCCGCTGTTCATGGTGCCCCCCGCCTTGCTGCACTTGCTTGCAGTTTGATTGCAGGGTATCGAGATTCGATGATCTTTGCCCATACAAGTCCCAAATCCCCACCCCACCTATATATAAACCCTATAGCTATATATATATATATAGATTAATATTACGTGGGTTCGGGCTTCGCAAATCTTGGGCCTGGGGTACTTATGGAACCTCTCCAGCTTGGTTATAATCTTATAATATGTCTTTGGGAGCGCAGCTGGCCAAGAGCATTTGAAGCCTTTTAAGTTCAAAGTTATGTGTAGCTAGTGAGTGTTGTTGCCTCTCTTGCCATGCATTCGCTTGTGCTCAACTTGCTCCAACTGGGAGCCCCAAAGGTGTTCTGACTGCAGCTAGTTCCTGCGCGTGTCCAGAATATGCAAATCCTGCAAAGGTTGCTTGTCATCGGTGCTGCTTAGGTCTTTGTAGCGACCGTCTCCTACTTACATGGAGCCTGCGGGTCTGGTTCTTGATGTTGCCCTGCATGTAGCGTAGTTAAGGTCTTGTGCTTGCGGTGGATGGAGAATCTCGATTTTGCGGAGCAGTTTCAGATTTTCGATTTGTTTTCTGGGGAATCCAAGATCTCTTCGGTTGCGTTACTGGGCTTACATAGCGGGGCGGGAGCATTCCATGAATCGCGTGGTGACTGCTGTTACCTGTACCAAGCTCAGGCATTCCCAAGGCTACTCTGTGGCCACGTATGACATGATCTACGGACCAGAGATGGATTTCTTGAAGTGTGGAGGGTATTCGTATCAGGTCCATAACTAGCCAATGTCTTGCAGTACATGCTAGCTGCACTGATTCCCAGGTCGAAGTTTGTATTCCTCAACTAAGGCTGGCCTTATGGGTCATATTGAATATGGTTCCTGACGGGGTTACGGCCCTGGGGCCGGATTGCGCCTCATGGGGAATCCCGGCTCGAAGTACCAGTGGCCGCTCATTTGTCAATCCTTATGGCATGATGAGCCGGGGCTTTGTTTCGAAGAACAATACCCTGATGTCTCGGATTCTGAGTTGCACTATAATACTAGTTTTTGTACCTGGGCTCTAGGTAGGCTTTGTAGAGCATACACCCGCCATATGGTACATTTCTAATCCTCATATGGTTCTGGCCCCTCTAAGTGTAGAGCACTTGCTACTTAGGGTGGTGTTGTTACTGATATTGGGCTTGGCGAGACATGGGACGTTCATATTGGAGCAACCTCTCCAGTCTCTGCTACACCGGCATGCACGTTGGGAGTGGTTTGTCAACAGGGTGGTTCGAGCCCCATTGCCGCATGTAGTTGGGTAGTTTTTGCTTACGTTTGTACACTAGCTATCCCCCGACAACCCTTAAAGGTTACCCTGCCTGTTCTACCAAGAACCACATGTTTGGCCGAGGTCTTCCGCCAAAATTTTTGGATGGCTCTCCACGGGTCCCCATCGGCAAAGCCTACAATTTGCTACAGCCCCACGCAAAGCCTCACCCTGCTGGACCTTGGGAAGCTAACCAAAGAGGAGCGGGAGAAACGAACCACACTGAAAACAGTTCGTGTTTTGGCTCCATGTTGATTTAAGCTTGCTGTCTGCAGAACATGCAACCCAAACCCTATACGCAAGCTTTCAACCCCTCTTTACCTGCCGACCCTATAGAACCTGCCCAGGTAAAACCATTGGCAAAGATGGCAAGCGTTGCTTCACCGGCAAGAAGGAGGAGCTGAAAGCTTCCGGGCTCCTTGGCACATCATGCAGCTCTGAGCCTTTATGCGCAGTCCTGTCTAGAAGTTGCAATATGCATGTAGCTAGGGGCTTACACTTCCCAATTTGCTGCTGCTCTTCTTGAAGTATACAAAGCTTGGCGAGAAAAACCTGCAGCAGAAAGGGGAGACATTCGAACCAGGAGGTCTGTGGACCTCTCAAAAACAGATAGGGAGATGTTTGCCTCGATGGAACTTGGCGACATGTGGCTTGAAAGTGGCTGCCACGAAGTCTTTTTCTATTTGCACGGCTCCAAGTATTGTAAGACCCTTGTGCAGCAATTGGATGCTACAGGGGTATATAGTGTAGATGGCATCTAGCATCCTGCCCAGCCTGTCCAAACTCAATAACATCCAAGGATCCCGGACACATGGGCGGATACCATGTTCATCTTTCATGATCAGCTACGCCGCAATGCATCCTGGGCGCAAGGGGCACTCAGGAGATTTGTACTAGCTGTAGCAACCCCTAAACGATCCATATAGGAGGCTCTTTGGGAAGTCGGTGGGTCGGTTATGGCTGGAGTTGCCCAAAAAAGAAAATGTTTTGGACCTTGAGCCCCTAAACACAAACACCCCCTAAACCCCTGAACTCCTAGACCACCTAAACCCTAAACTTCTAAACCTCTAAACCCCTAAAGCCCTTGTCCAACAGAATCCCATTTGCAACCTCAACAGCTCTCCTCCAAGTCTGACCTGATCTGGAGGCCTTTCTCAAAACTGAACCCGGAGCCCCAACCCTAAGACTATATATATAAACCCTAGCCCTGCAACCTGCTAACCTGGACTATTTAAAAGCGCACTTGCTGGACCAGCTGAGGCATGTGGTTCGGAAAGCCTGAGAGAGGAGCTGGCTGCACTTCAAAAGTAGGATTCGAAATTAGTTTGTGCACATTTCAGAAATTTCGAGCACTTTTTAGGATTGTTCGGGTATTTGGGGCCCGGGGGGTGCCGCATTTCGAGCGCATATTCCCGCTAAACGCGCGCATATTCGCGCAAACGGGCGCATATTTAAAAAGTGTGCGGACCCTTGGCCTGAAATCCTGAAATTCGAGCTGATATGCCAAAATGTGTTCGCTAATTCGGAATGAGATCTTTACAGGCCTGTTCCTACCTGTGCAAAAGTAAATTTCACGCAGATCTTGTCAGCAAAGGCTGCACATATGCCTGACAATTTGTGAGCTGTAGCAGCATGCGCCCCACAGTCAAAGCTTGTTTCCCTTATCTAGCCGTTGACTTCAAGCTAGCTGCTTAGATGGCGGCCCAAAGGTCCTGGAGCTGCCAATCGTTGCTTACAGGTGTTCCTATGGTGTCGATGATAATGGAAGCCAAAGGGCCACAGGATTCCCCTGAAGACCTTGCCGCGAAAATCGAGGTCACTTATTTGCATATAGCTATTAATATATTAGTTGGCAAAGCCTTATAAGTTCTGACCCCCAAGGCAGCCAGGAAGCGGATTGCAGATCTTCAATCCAGTTTGCAGCGCTCGAAGAGTACCGTCTCGGTTCCACCTGTGCCAGGCAGATTCTTGTGCAATATGCGCATGCATATCATTGGTGGCATGTGGGGCTGTTTTCATTGCGCACTGCAGATTTTGGCCCCTTTCCTGGGCCCGGATTCAACCGAAACAACCCCCTGCTTTCAAGCTGTGCGTGAATTCAAGCTGTGGTCCCAGGTGCCCCTACAATGGCAAAGGAGCCTGCTGAGCAGCTTGCTGTGGCTGGCAAGAAGCCTGTCTATCTTGCTGATATGGCCAGGCACAAGAGGTTCAAGCCAAGTAGCCAAGATGGACAGTACAACCCCTACGACCCCTCTTTGTCCCCTTCTACCTTCAAGCTCGAAAGCTTGAGCCCTGAAATTCCGAAGACTTCCCGGAGCCCTGCGTTGAAGATTACCCCCACAAGGGCCCGAAGCTTTCAGCGTCCCATTACCCCACCTCACCCCGCTGCGGCTGACCCAGCAAGAGTTGGTGCCCCTGCGCCAAAGAAGGGTTGGGTGGATGATGTCAAGAGAGAGTGTTTCCCTGAGTTGAGTCCTGGTCGCTCTGCTGCTGGGTCTACATTATGTGCACCCTAAACCCCTAAACCCCTAAACCCTTAACCCTATAAACCCTAAACCCTTAGCTAGCTATATAGCTTACCCGCATACTTGAGGTTCGATCTGATACCTCTCGTGGGTCGAGTGATGGTGGATCTGGGCATAAGAAGAAGCGTGCCCAGAGCCCCACCTATTGGAGGACTAACCTTGCACTGTATACATCATGATGATCATTCAAATGGGACCCCACTAGATCATGCTGTAATCACATGCATGTTAGCGCACACTACAGGCTCAGACGGTATTTTACACCAAAAGCATGCGGAAGCCTCAAGTGCAGTCCGGAGTCGCTTGCCCTGTACAAAACGGAGAATGGGCGTGCTCTAGCTTCATTACACATGCAGACTTCCTGGGCCACACTTCTATTATGTAAGCTTCTCCTGTGCTTATCTCAATTCACCTAGGTGAGCGCCTCAAGGAGTTGCTCAAGGAACACGGGTCCTTCGAATTGATGGAGGTACAGGTTCGCAAATGGCACAAAACCCTCATGGGCAACAAGAAGCAGGGGCAGTGGCTCACAAGGCACCAGTTAGCCACCCAGTACAACTACTCAAAGAACCATGGCACGCAAGAAGGTTATATGCAAGCATCAATTGGAGCGCAAGCTATACTAAAATGATTCTAGCGCGGTGTGATCATACCTAGGCAGATGGTTTCCGCTGCCTGGGATTGGGCACGTGCCCGCAATCTGATCAGAGTCAACCCCATCCACAAAGAGGAGGAGGCAAAATTGATTATCTCTGAGAATTTTGAGTTGGTATCCGAAACCGGACAAGAAACATCAATGGCAGGCAGTCTGGAAATGGAGGACCCCAAGCCCAAATAGATATTAATTAATGGTTCCTAGCTACGTACTTATATGAATAGTTCCTGGGGGTTAAAAGCAAATTATACATATCAAGCTTAATTCCTAAATGGGAGGATGACAGCGGCTTCCTGCTAGATGCGGATATCCCTGGCATCGATGCCTCCAACGAGGATATCTTGGCTGCTAATCGAGCAACCTCAGATGCGAACTCGAACCCGGCTGTGGATGTCGGCAAAGCTGCTTCTTTCAAGAAACTTAGCAGGATTAACGGGAGTACCCATGCAATTCAACATGATTTTTCGGGGGCCTGTCTTGCTCAGGATTGTGTTCCCAACAGTTTCGCAGAATACCTCCCCGTCTACGTTGCTACCCAACTTCCTGGAAGTCCTTGGGAGAAAGGTGGACAGCTTGGAAGACCACCTGGACCCCACTTGCTTTTATAGCTAGCTAGCTGTGAATGCTGTTGATGAGCAAGCATGTGTGGTCAAAACCCATATGATCTATAGCAGTGCAGGAAGTCCTGCAGCAGTCCGATCAGAGCCGAGCTAAGACGCCACTTGAATTCATATTATAATGTAGATCAGTACTTATTGATTTCAGGCCTTTCGGGTGTGGGTTTATAATGCACGAAACTGAGGCTGCATGAGCAGATGTCCATCATTCTGCAGCAGATGCAGGGCCACTACAAGGAGCTCACAAAGAAGCAGGGGCAAGGGATTCTGGCCGTGCCGGACCAGCCTCTAGCAAACATTATATCGAGTCTTGAGCATGCAGTGTTTTTTGAAGATTGATCTGCGCTGAGTCTCTGCGTGTTCCATCCAAGGGCATTCAATGATGAGCTTCTTCGATTGTATGCCGAGATTACAAAGCAGGATGTCATCTTGGGAAACTACCTGGTTCGGACCAAGTGCCTAGTCTACGCATTCCATCCCCATCCCACCCCACATCAATTGTTCATCATGCATGAACGCGAAGCCCGGAACCTTCAAAACCCAAACTAGGAACCAGCTTAATTCTGTAGGGATCTATAATTAACCTATGCTCTATGAAATGTTGTCTTGTGGAACCTGCGGGGCAACACATTCTGCAATCCTATATATAATGCCAACCCCCAACCCAAACTCTTGCCAAACTCGATTCGACTAGTATAACTATATAAATAAATTTACTACGTCGTTTGGCCCTTTTCTTAGAAATAATATTATTACCTATATAAGTGTAAACCCATAGGTCCCTATAGTACCTAAACACCCGAGTTGCAAGCTGCCCTGTGCCCCAATGCCAATCCAGGTCGATCGCAGCATCCTGCAAGAGCTGCAAGAAGGGACCCAACTCGAAAGCCCCGCCAAAGCCGAAGAAGGTTAAGAAGGACAAGAAGGGTAAGAAGGAGAAAAAGTAGGGGAAGAAGGTTCGACGGTTTGTTTCAAGCCTTTTCCTGGTTGCCTTACAGCGACATGCCTGTATCTACATGCTCGATATAGGGAAGGCCCAGCTTGGCTAGTGTGTCAGGTTGTTGCTTTAGCTAATATGATTTCCGGTCTAGAATTTCGGAGATACGCAGGCAGTAGTTGCTGTTGTGCACTGTTAATCATTGCACATGCAGTGTTGTGGCAGAATGTCACAATCTCATGCACGCGCTGGGGGATCTTCTCGAGATGCTGATGACAACAAGATCCATTGCATTGTAGCTTGTACATAGCATGAGCAGGGCAATCTTCCAGCTTTACATGCTAATTTCAACTTCGCCCCCAGTTAGCCTATGAAAATGATCCCTCAATCCCCTCGCAGGTCACGTAAATGATGATGGTAAAAGCAGCAGCAGCAGCAGCAGTTGGGTTCTGAGCTTGAAGCAGAGTAGGGCCCCCAAGTTCTCTCTTCCCCCTTTGCAGTCCTCAGGCTCCGAAGATGAAGATTCAGGGGTTGCCAGCAACCTCGCAGATGAGCTTATGATTGGCTTCGAACAGGGAGTTCTTGGGTTACATGATCGTACGGTGTACAATTAATTGTAATACTGTGGTTAGGCCAGTACTAATTAGCACTATGTGATAGCACGCGATTTAGGGTTTAGGGTCTGTAGGGTTTAGATATAGCTAGGGTTTAGGTAGGGTCTCTCTGGTTTATGGGGTAAGGCTTAGGCTTAGGGGGTTTAAAGCTGAGGCTGAATCTGCCAGGCGTGTCGTTCGGCTGGCCAGGGTAGCTCACAACAAGTTCTGGAAGCATGGTTGCTTGACCGATTCCTAGAAAACGGTGTGGAATCACTTGGAGGGAATGTTCCGATGGTTGCTCATGCGTTTAAAAAATGTGGTAGTTCTTAAGCTGGTTGTATTTTTTCAAGTTCTTATGCTATCGATCTGTTACGAATTTAGGCGTGCTGGACCCTATGCTTCGCTTGATGGGGCATTGCGCTGCCAACAGGGGCAATGAATGTCGAAATCTTCACAAGTTGATACACGCTCAAGGAAAGACATTGCCAATTGATGTCAGCACGTTGCCTACACAAGTTGTGATCCTGACTGGGAAACCGCGTGTTGAAACAGTTCAATATCCAGTGCTATTCCTCTCCTCATGGGCCCAGCAAAGCTTTAAAACTGGTGGACACTTGTTTCTTGGGGGTCATGCCCTGGATCAGTCAAAAGAGTTCCGCAAGATGTTTGCCACTTTCTGGCAAAGGTTTCGAGTGCTCAGACCAGACTTAGATATCTACAATCGGCCAGATGTGGATCTTTCGATGTGCATACCTGTGGCGTTTCACGGAGATGAAGGTCGGGGGAAGCTGCGTCGCCCAGTGATGATTATTAGCTACCAGTGCTTGATTGGGTACAAGGGACCCCGACGCACAAATTCCAGCGGGTTCTTGGGTTGCACTGGTGTTCGGGCTATTGCTCTGTACATGGTAGTACTGTATAAGATCGTCTTCTATAGTTTAATTATGCACCCGAGAAAAACCCAAGCAAGATTCCCAATTGTCCCATATGTTTCACCGATCCTATATATAGTCCCCCTTAGCCCCAACTCTGAAAAGTATTTGCCAATTGCGCTGTACCCATTGCCCAGGCACTCTTTCATTTCACGGCTATTATTTTCCGTGGCCCCTTCCGAAGTCTACCACAAGAAGAAGACAATTGATATGTTGCACGAAGCCCTCACCCGAGACATGCTGTCATTGTACCATGAAGGCATCAAGGAGCCCTCTACTTGTTAGGCATCAGTTCTTCATTTTGGTGAAGCGATTCGTATAATTGGTTCGCCTGCGTGAAGTTGATGCCCCTTATAAATTATAATTTGTTTGGCAACCCACACTGGAGCCCTAGTACTTCAAAGTATATACTATAGCCCCCAGATAATACAAATAGTTTAGACTAATAATCGAGATTCTACTCCCTATTAAGGTCAAGTGGGGCACAGAAAGCTTCACATTCAGATTTGTGCCCGTCCTCCTCAAGGGAGACTGGCCATATCTTCGCACAGCAGCCCACCTTCAGACAGGGTTTACATCCAAACGGGTTTGCCATCTTTGTCCGGCTGAAGAATCTTGGTGTTCCTCATCTAGTGAATCGTAGGCGGGTAATATGGTTTGCATATAAGCCCTAGTTACAGGATCGATTTGTGGGAATAATGCCCTAAACCCTATATTATAAATGTACTTGGCCATACACCCGATCAACATCAGGATTGGTATGATGTGGGGCCAAATTCGAGTACATGGGTATGGCCACTGAATGGTGAAGCAGAGAGCCCTTTCAAACCAACCAGATCACCGCTCAGGGATTTGCCCAGCTGTGACAATGCATACTGGATACAGCCAGACCCGGCCCACACATACGCCATAGCAGGGTGGGGTAAGGATTTCGTTGCAAGTACAATCCTACTCATGCTACATTTTGGACTTTTTGGTGCAAGAGGCTCTTTACAAGCAAAATTGGATTACGCGTTTGGGCTCTTCAAGACATGGTGTCGCAACAACCACCGGACTACGTCCCTGACAATGTTCTCCCTCAAAACATTCAAAATGGTTTCGCCTCTTGTACAATTAGCAACAAATCTGAGTTTTATCCATTAAGACCCTAAACTCTAATATGTTTATTTGTGTTTACATAAACTTATAACACCCCAACCTTGAAGATGCTACTCCTAGATTAAGGATGAGAAACTTTCCGACCGGATGCGGAAAGGGTCACGATACGGCTGTTCTTGGTGCTTGGCTTTATGCTGAGCTGCTAAATGTGGATCCGGCCTCCGTAGAAGCAGCTTGGAAGATCCAGTCCCATTCATAGCTTGCCTAGGCTGGGGTGTTTCTTTGTTGGGATAGGCCATGCTGAAGGTTTTTGAGGGGAAGTTGTCAACATACATAACATCAAACCAATTGGCTTAAAGCTGCGGGTCTAAGATGTAGAATTTACATATGGGCTGTAGAGTTTGCAGGATTCAGCCATCTACTTGAGGAGCAGCATCGAGAATTACTTCAAGTCTTGAAGTGGACAACATCCTGTATCAACATCTACTGGCGCATCTTATATGCCCATGGACTTTGGATTGCGGCAGACACTGCTAGAATTTGCGTGGAGGCTGGCATGAAGATGTTAGATTCTCGACTGCCATGGTTTTAAAAATCATGCGCTTGTTTTTTCAAGCTAGTAGGTCCAATCTTAAGGGTCGATCATGCACTATTTTGGGGCTGCTTTGCTACAGCAGGCCGGATACCAAAACTTGGCGGCCATGACGGCGAGTCTTGGCATGTGCCTCTATCGCATCAAACCGAAACTGCACATGCAGGTGCACTTAGTGTCCCTTGTTGGCCATCTGAATCCATTTTTTGATTTTGGGGAATGGCTAACAAAGCATCTTCACAATTCACCAGCTTGATCGATCAGACCAGGCTCTTCATGAAGAATCAGCTTAGCAGCGGTGCCCAATGGATCCTGTCGGTATTGTGTCCCTTGCATGGCAAGCTAGAGATCATTTTTTTAACCTATACCGAATTAACTACTTTAATTGATGGGCTTCTCCCATCTTGTTCCGATTTGCTCATCGTTTGAGGTTTTGCCTGTTGGCATGATGAAGACTATGTGGGCAGGGTGGCGCGTGTTTCACGTAAAACCCACAGTTTTACCACAGCTACTCGCACCATAAGCCGTTGCTTGATGCAGTACCGCAGAGAATTCAAGAAAGCCTTTCGGCGATAGTGCCAACCGAGCATCAGGGAATGAGCAGCTCCATGAAAAAGAGGATTGTGATCAGCGAGGCCAGCAGCATCGTGCACTTTTGTGTGTATTTGATCGTTTTTGGGGTTTATTGGGCTTTTGAGGTCTTTGGGTTTGAGCGCTTTTTCCTCGAGCGCGAATTTGTGTATCAAAGGATGCTGCAGGAATATGTGACGTCTATAGGGCGGGTAGGGCAATATCCATCATCTATAAATCTACAAACGAATTGAGGTTCGGGACTTCCGTAATTCATATCATACCAAAGTTTCAGAGGGTCCAAGTACCCAATGATAGGTACTTGAAATTAAGGAAATGACAACTATTTCAGTACTGGTTTTAGGCAAGTATATGGTGATTGGGTACCTGGGCCCTTTGGGATAGTGTCCATAAACCAACAGGATTTCTTCGGACGGTATCTTGTCAGACTTCTTAAGGGTTTAGGGTTCTACACTATGTGTCTGACTTCCGTTGAGTTCCATGGCCGGATATTATCCGGGCTTTGAAGTTCTCGGCCTAACCCTACCTGGAGTACCTCAGACTTTTGAGAAAAAACGGAAAAGATACAAACCACAAATGGAAACCAAAAAAACATCCTTTACAGATACATGGGTTAGACCCTCCATACACCCACTATGTATCCAACATTCCCACTATTAGGGGCCATATTCCTGATTTAGCGGTGCAAGAAGGGTCCCCTAAACCCTAAACCCCTAAACCCCAAACCCTAAAACCCCTAAACGCTAAACCCCCAAACCCCTAAACCCCTAAACCCCTAATTAAAAGAATAACCTGAGAACCTTTGAGCTATCAGGCTCCAGATTTCCAAGTGGGTGGCCATCAAGTAAGCCAAAGGGGTTTGGGGCTTAGGGTTTAGGCCCCCGTACAGGGGTATATAATGCTATCTAGGCTTTAGGGGTCTTAAGTACCTAGTAGTTGAGTTTTTGAGTTTTGGGTAATGTCAACTATTGGGCACTTGGACCCTTAGGGCAAGTATCAAACTAACGTGGACCCTAAAACGGCCCTACCAAAATGACAGTCCGTGTAAAAGTGCACATAGGTAGGTTTCCATGTTGCTTTGAGGAGGTAAGATCTATAGATGTAGAATCTGAAAGATATGGAAGCTTCTGAATTGGCTGTGGCGCTTGGATACGGCGGGATTACAAAGGTCAAGCCTGATTGAAGAAGGTCCATACGCCTAAACCATCCCTAAATGAGAAATTCTCAATAAATATAGGAGGCGTGGGAAAATCCCAACGCGCTCTCCCACTTGACCAATGGTATAAAATGACCTAAGCCCATAAAACAAAGGAAGCATACCTAAACTACCCCAAAGTGGGGCAACCCACAGTATGGAAGAAGGTAGGGCAACCCCAAATTCGGAACGCCTGGAAAAATCCCCACCCGTCCTCCACTCGGCCCTACCCAGAGTAGCCTAGACTCATAGGAAAGATAAAGATACAACAATACCATACACATCAGAACCTAATAGGCTTTATCGTTTTTCGGGTTTAAGGTTACATATTAGAGTTTAGGGTTATTACTCTAGGTAAACCAGAAAACACCCTGTGCCGCCTTTTGCCAAGATCGATTGATCCAGATTGGCGTTGAAGCCACAAGATTACGGGCCCCCATGTTTGTACTGTGTACCGGATCACGTGTAATAGCTTCCAAATAAGGAATGTGTATCACTCGAGTGGGGATATCCCAAGCCTTTCAGACTTAGGTTTGGGGAGCCCGCTTTGTAAAGTGCATTTGCAAGAGATTGCAAGAGTTTTACGAAATGTGGCGTCTTTGGTGGCACATTTGACAGTCTGCTGACACTTCGTCCACCGCCACAAGTACTCAAAAGGCCTGGGGAAAGCCAGTGCTTTAGCAGCTGACTTTGCAGGTCTTACCCTGGGGATCGAAGCCAACAAATAATATCTAATCTCGCCCTATAAACCTAGACCCTCCTCCTACCCTCTATTAGGGCCTAAGTACCTACTATTAGGGACCATATATCCCCAATTAAGGGTACAAGGAGGGTCCTGGAAGTCTGTACATGGTGCCTACTTTGGGCTATCCATATCCCCTGGGTTACCAAAACTCGATTGAAAACGCGTACCTGATTAGGCTAGCTTCCCTCACGCTTCGCAGCATCCGCCGTCCACGTACTTCTGCAGCGCGGCTAGGAAGGGCTCGAAGTTTGCTTGGCACTGGGACTGGCACTGTAAGATGGCATCATTGCCCCTAGGAGGCAACAGGAAGCCATTTTTGCCTAGGCTGACCGTCAACGACTGCGAAACAATTATATCTATATATATATATGCAACTGTTTCTCGAACATGCAGGCACTCAGTAAGGACATGGGGATATGTGCGGAACAGGAGGTTTTTGCACGGGGTCGTTCTTAAGGATTCTCCATAGAGGTAGTAGATTTTAGGGGGGCTACAATGCTATGAATCCACCCATCAACAGAAAATAATCTCTCAACAGCAAGGTTGCAGAAGAGCGTGCAGTACTTGGAGACGGGACGGCAAGCACCGACCTCTGAATCCTGATGACTTTTCCTCTGCAACAGGCCGACCTCTTCGTTGGTCTCGGTGAGCATAGGCATAGGGCTGAAGGGGCAAAGTCCCTTGGAGCAGAAGACTTGAGCGATGGGGATGATGGCATTTTGCCTTGTCTTGCACATATGCTGGCAACTTGCCGGCTGAGGGTGCTGCGTAGAGCAAATGTCACCGCAAATGTTGTTGCACTTGTAGGGTTGTTGCTCTTTAGGATGAGAGGAGGAGTGGTAGGAGTGGTAGCCGCTGCCGGAGTGCGAGTAGCCCTTGCCGGAGTGGTTGGAGGATTTGGCGGCCACCACGCCTTCAAGGTCGGTGAGGGCATCCTTGATCTGGTCCACTGCCTCTTCCAACTTCTCGATGGCACCCTTCACGGTAGTTTTGGTGTCGATGCAAATTTTGATGGTGGCGCAGCCGATGCGGACCCCGTCATAGTCGTGCACGATCACGGTGCGGCCGTTGACCTGCGCTGCGCTGAGCCCGGTCGTCACCTTGAGGTCGTTCACCTTCGATGGCAAGGAGCCCTCGATCACATAACGCACATCCTGCCAAGGGTCTTCAGGGTACTGGTCCATGTCCCAGAAGTGGCCACCAATGGCATCAGCACTTGCACAACTCGTGCCCTCGTGGATGTGGACACCGCAGCAGTTGTTGGCCGTGCAAGGATC